GGGCTACACAGACATAGAAGTTGTCTATACAAAAGTGGATAATAACAACACCGAATAAACACAATAGAGACAGAGAGATCATTACACAACAATTTAACGTGGTTCGATCAGTATGACCTACGTCCACAGACCAAAACAGCAGAGAACTTTACTAATCACAAAAGAGAAGATTACAAAGGGAGACCACTCTAATATCTCACCAAACTCACACAAAGAAAAGAACACTTAAAGAGAACTCTCTTTTTCTTTTTCTCTTCAACTCTCTCTTTCTTTTCCTCTTTGTTCTGGATCTCTATTCAATGCTCTAACCCTTCACCACTCTCCTCTATTTATAACCTTCAAAAGAGTTGGTGGAACAATGTTTTGAGTTGTTTGAGTTGGTGGGATAGTATTTTAGGTTGGTGGAACGGTGAAGTTTGGTGGGTCAAAATACAATTTGGATTTCCCATTCAAAGTCACATGTAACATGTTACATATAGTTTGGAAGTCGACGATGAAGAATTATAAGAAAACTGTGATCGTTGACTGCGGATTACCGCAGGAACCAGTTATTAGTAGGGCTGTTAATCGGTTTGAATTGTGCGGTTAATAGGTGACACCGAACACCAAACCGATCTATTTTTTCGGTTCGGTTCGGTTTGGTTTTTCGCTTATTTTTTTATAAACCAATTATGTTCGGTTTAATTCGGTTTGGTTTTTCTCTGGTTTATATCGGTTTTTTTTCGATTATTCTATAAAGAAAACAATTCTAGAAAAGTAGAAAGTAGAAATGTCTCATATTACATAACCGTTTCCGAAAAGAAAAGAAAAGAAAAAGGGCATCCCACAATGCCACATAACAGTTTTCGAAAAAAAGCGATGAAAAACTAGAATAGCATAAACATGTAGATGATAGATCAACACTTCAAGTTCAGCAGCAAGCTCCTCCATGACCAACATTTGGGGAAGAAACATGTAGATGATAGATCAACACTTCAAGTTCAGCAGCAAGCTCCTCCATGACCAACATTTGGGGAAAGGGAAAGCTACAGTACCACGTACCAACATTTGGGGAAAGGGAAAGCTACAGTACCACGTGACAGAAGGGATTTCTTCGCCGGTGACGAGAGGACCCAAGATTTGGGGCCGATGGACGGGAGAACCCTAGATTTGGGGGCGATGGACGAAAGGGGACGAGACGGAGCGCGAAGGACCAAAAGCTCGTTGGGTTTGGGACTTTGGGGAGGATGGACGAGAACTCAGATTCTCAGAAGCCCTAGAAATATAATTAAAGTCTAATGTAGACTATGTAGTAATGCTGGAATGCAGGCCAAGACCATCCTTTTTTTTAGGCTTCATTTAAGCCCAAGTTTGAAGTTTCTACATAAAATTTTATGTATATAAATAATATATATCTATAAATAATATAATTTCCTTACAATATATATAATCGGTTTTTCGGTTCGGTTTCGGTTTCTAGACATCCGAAACCAAAACCACACCAAACCTTTCGGTTTTCGGTTATTTTTTTGTGGTTTGGTGCGGTTTTTTTCTTTCATCGGTTTTTTCGGTTATGGTTCGGCTTTGGTGTGGTTATTTTTTCGGTTATCGGTTTTCAAGTTACAACCATAGTTATTAGCTAGGCCGGGCCTTGGATGAAATCCAACAAAAATGACTACTTAATAGGAGAATGATGAATGTGACGACGAGCATGCAACAGCACTCGTTACACATGGGCGCACGTGCATAGATGCATACATGCGTTTGTGCATGGGAAAATGTCGAAATCTCATGTTTCGTATGAAATTATGTTGAGGATTTAAAAAGCACAAACATGTAATTAAAATTAATATTTGATGGTGTGTGAGAGAGAGGCTTGGTTTCTTGGAGCTTGACGATACCAACACATTAATGCTGAACTAAAATATTTGACAGAACAATTCACATATTTATTGAGAACAATTCACAAAAGTTTTTAACAACGTACAAGGCTTACGCTATCTTTTTGAACGTTCAGAATAGTTTTATGGAAATGAAAAAGGCCATTTAAGTTGGTTGTAGTTATTTCTCTCAAAAAAAAAAAGTTGGTTGTAGTTATTTCTCTCAAAAAAAAAAAGTTGGTTGTAGTTATGTTAAAAAAAGTCATGTTCTTAAAAGCAAGGCTTAATTAGCCGATAATTTCCCCTACCCTAAAGTTTAACCGCACTTATATACCCTCACTTATTTTTGACAGCATTTATATACCCCAGAGTTTTTAAAACTTGTACTTAAAACTTTTAAAGTTTTAGAAACTTGCTCTTAAATACACTCAACTTATGTTCACGCTTGAGAAATTCCCACGCGAGTGTCACATGATATTTTTTAAAACATTTTCAACTCTTAACCTTTGTTAGATTTATTATAGTCATATCAAAATCCTATTTTAAAATAAAATTAGGGTAGGTTTAAAATAGAATTATGGTAGCCTTAACAATAAATTAAACAAAAATAAAGAGTTGAAAAGTTTTAAAATTAGCATGAGAGTGACAATGAAAATTTTTGGGGAAAATTCTCACATTTGCACAACCGAGGCTCCTAAAGTGCATATTTTAAGAACTTAAAGGACTAGTAATTAATAATATATGTTTTTAAGTATTTGTTTAAATGCATTATACAGAACATTTACAGTCTTATTTCTCACAAAAAGAAAATCACTGAAAACGGGGAA